CCCCCCCCCCCCCCTGCCCCAAGCTCAAATTTAGTTTTTAGTGGGTTAAATTAATCAAAATAGTCAAAAAAATCTTAACCTAACAGCTCCCACGACACCTAAGCGTTGGGCCTGACTTCTAGGTTTCGGGCACCTGGTGCCTACTTTCTATCTTCTTGGGTTTTCAGATTCTTTTTGGACTTTTTCGGGTGCTTAGGAGCCGGAAACTGGCACTGGGGCGTTGGAAACTAGTGTCAGGGCGCTGGAAACTGGCACTGACTTTTGAGGCTCTTGGTTTTGGATCACAGGGTTGCCTCGGGTGTTAGGGCACTAAGGTCCAACTCTGGGGTGCCAAGGTGCAGTACTGGAGCGCAGGGCTGGCCTGATGGGCATTGATTTGCTCAAAAAAATGTCCTAGAAGGTTTTTTTTATCCATAAGTTACGGGGGACTATATATGACTAAAATATAGTCCCATGAAACTAAGAATAATCATTTATGGGTATTTACAATAAATACTTCAACACCAACAGGCTCCCAAGATCACTATGTCTAAACCCTAATCTTCCTGGAAATGCATGTGGGGGAGGGGTTCTATGATTACCCTCAATCACAGGAGGCTTCGAATAGATGGAGCATAGTCTTTAAACACTAAAATGGACATTAGATGTGTCATGTGTCAGAATTCTTATCACCCAACTGTTAACTCTCTCAGGTTGGACTGAATTTGTATCGATCTTGGTTTTGTGCTCGAGACATGTACTAGAAGGTATGAACGACTGTATTGGATTATGAGAGACTATAAATAAGTAAAACTTAGTCTCGTAGCATTCAATAGGACACATTACACATATGACATAAAAAAAGTGATGCCAATAGAGAGGAGCTTGATGATTTTGAATAATGCATTTTGCTGCACCCATTGTTTAGCTCTCCTCCCATCGGACACAGTTTTTTTAACATTGCATGATATAGCCTGTGTTGGACTCTATTTTATAAGTTGAGACTTTTTTTAGATTTTCTCCATATATTTTTAAAGTCCTTTCGAAGTGTTTGTACTAGAAATAAGGTACAAAGATGAGTGCCAAAGCTCAGAGCAGGGAGTGTGTGGAGAGGACCAAGAATCATTTACTCGTACCTCATACCTTAAGTCCAAATTGTACATTCATTGTATAGTTTTAGAATTGGACATGGATATATGGAGTCCTACCACATTTTTTTCTTGTTTGGGATAATAGCAGACTTATTGACATTGTCGTTCTTTTATTATTTTATATGAAGTGTTTATTTTTTAACACATTGTCGGTGTTAACTATTTTTTATGCTTGTGATTTGTCTTGATAGAATCATGGATAGGATCATTAGGATACAATCTTTGTTAAAAAAATTAATCTTAAAATATTTATAATTGATAAATTTTGGAGAAAAATATTCAAGATTTTAAATTATGTGGTTTTATTTACTACATTTACTTTCTTGTATGACCTTCGATCCAATTTTAAAACTATCTTAACTACATGGATTTTATCCCCGAACATGTTAATAGGGCCTTCATGTTGAGGTCGTCTTAGCTCATTGCATACATATTGCATTACCCTAGGAAAGAACTCTTACTCTCTACTCCGATCAGCCCAATATTTATTTTATATGGTTAGGTGGTTGTTTAGTGCAGGATAGGACGTTACAAACTTGCTCAATCCATACAAGAATATAAATCCTTTGTGGGGAGTCTTAGATTTAACTAAGTTATCTACTTCCTCTTTTTTCCTGTAGGTTTCCTGTCCATACCCTTGGCAGGTATAATCTTTATTCTTCTTTTGATTGTTGAGGTTGTTTGTTGGATTGCTTCGAATAATTCAGCACATGGGTAGCTGATGCAGTGATCCCCCAGCTGAGTTGGGTCAATTACGCTTAGAGCTTAGTAGATTTAGAGTCACGGTAGTCTAAGAAGACGGTCCATGGAGCCAACCACGTTCTTTCTAGCTATTTAGGTTTTTCTTTGAACTACCTGTTGGTTTACCCCCTTTGAGCATATTAATTTCCTTTGTTGAGTCATTTTATATGTGTAGTGTATGCTCTCTCGGTTCAGTGGTATATACTCGTTAGGTTATGGTGATTCACCCTATGCGTGGTGGCCTAGCTTTACCTCGACGACTAAAGGATTTCCCCTACTGTGACGTTGAAAGTCCCCTTGGTTGTTTATGTTTTAAAAGACTAAATCTAAAGAAACACAACACATTTTATGTTGAGTTTTCTTAGGCTTTCCCTTAATATGTAATTGACGGCGAGGATATGTCATCATGGGAGGTATTTTAAACCCAAAAATAAAATAAATTTGATTTTGTCTTCTAGTTTAGTTATGAGGGTCTTTGTATAGGATCTTTCTTGTATATTTTTTCAGTTCGAGTATAATTTGATTGATTTTGGACCTCTCTTATTTGGTTTATGTAACAAATAATTTTCTATATAAATATCTTCATAGATACTTTTTTGTTTCTTGTTAGCTTTTGTCCATTTTTCAATCTTATTTTCTCCCTTTAACTTTTCTAAAGCGGAAGTGATCTAACAAAAGGGATTTGAAACAGGAAACTCTAAGAAGGTCATACTACTAGTCATAACAAAAAAGGGTACGGATATAATATGGTGACTCCACTAAGGAATGAGACTACCTTACCATATTAGGTGTTATAGTTGCTCTTTACTTTAGTCATTTGCTTTTTGTTTAATTGTTCAACCGATTTGATTTGCAATTTTGACTAGATTTGATTCCTATTTGTTTCACTCTTTGGTAAAACCAGTAGTGTTAGCTATCTTATGCCAATCTTATCCCTTCTCTGCGCCCTCGACTTATCAGACACACACTTTAGGAGTCCTGAGTACTGATTGAGCCTTTGAGCTCTTAACTACAATAGTCACACTTATTAATGTTATGGCATCATTTACCTTTATTTTTCTATCATCCTAGCTATGTACTTGATACTGTGGTAGTATTTCTATCAATAATCCAAATGCACAATTTACACATTTCTGGTGTTATTGTGACCCTTAATAGGATTATTGCATGTGTGGATCCAACTGTTTGATCGATTTTTCCTCCTACGCGTAGGTATAGCCATGTCGATTGAGTCCGGTGAGGGAAACATTCTAATGTTTCCCAAGACTATTCTCAGTGTTAATTTAGACATGATCGTGTTGGTTGGCCTATCTGTTTCATATTAAGGAACCTTTCCTTAGTTGAGGCACTCACTTTGTGCCCTTCAAAGAGGAAGAGTCGTATCTGTACGGATATCCCCATGGTGGTCGTGCACATTAGGCCTATTCTTCATTCTCAAAAGAGGTTGGTGCTCACGACTAAGTCAGCTTCGCGTACTTCTATTTTTAGTCAGTTTTCTGGCAAGCATGTTGTCTTCTAAATTTTTCAGGTCTATTAGGTCCACCCCTCGAGGCATCGCCCAATTCACTATTATGGTGATACCTAGAGTCACTGAGGTCACTTCCATCAGCGTGAACTCCACTGAGCCGCCATTTTCCACTCAGGCAACTCTTATTGCCACTCCTACTCTGAGATTGAGCTGGAATGCCAAAAGGAGGTATAGGGAACAATTGGTCCTCTAGCAAGAGCCCCTCAGAGTGCTCTGATTGAGGAGCCCAGCTTGAGGCTATTTCAGTGCCCTTGAGCCTGAACATGCTTCAGGTTCTGACCGTTCAAAGAATTTCTCTCTTTGTGTGCCCCGACGGTTAGTATCCCCTGCTTTAGTTTCTACTTCTCTAAGGGAAGCTCTTGAAAGAATTTAGCCTTGATAGGTTACTTGTTCACAAGACCCAATTTATCTAAGGCCCATGACTTCTATTTGCAGCTCGGATGTTATTAAACCCATGGATAGCCTTTTCAATGATTCCAATTGCTTCCTCACAAGGAAGATTAAGACTATCATTTGTTCCCTGAGAGGGAGAGGCCTGATAGGCTAGGGATTCCCATCTTGTCTTACTCATACTTCGGTGTAGGTTATGTAGGGGTTGTTGTACCATGGTAAGTGAAAGCATAGTAACCTATTGATTAAAGATATAATTTGTATGACCACACTTAGGGGTATAAACAAGTCAAGTCGAACTCAACCCACTGTTGGGTTGAGCGTGATTAAATTAATCAAGTTCGAGCACGATCTCAAGCTTAATTGTACGAGTTCAAGCAGGTTTGTTAAACATGAAAGAGAGAAAAAAATCAATTTATACTAATATTATAATTAAATGACAAATAAAATGAGTATTTATGATATAATTATTAAAAAATTACTTGATATTATTGTAAAATATCAAATTTTAAACATTTTTAATAATTAAAAAATATTTTTTATTAATTATTTTTTAAATGAGTCAACTCATGTGCTACCAAGTGGAGTTAAAGCTGGCTTGAGCTTGGCTTATTAGTTCATGAAGCTCGGTTCACGAGCCACTTCTCTAGTCGAGCTCGAGCCAGCACACGAGTGAGCTTAGACTCACAAAGTTACACTCCAATCCACACTCATAAATTTTAACCACATTTTTTTTTTATCATCTCGCACCATCATTAAGGTGTGGGTTTGAACAATAGAGGTGAACGTACTCGCAACTTGCCAAAATTCGAATTTCAAAACCCGCAGATCCGACCGTTGGACCTGCGAGAAATGAAGAGAGTGACGTGAACAGCGTTTAAGTGAAGCTGAAAAAGAGGAGATGAAGATGAAAAACGGGAGGAAAATGGAGAGCGGAACTTGGAACTGAGCTTCTCTTGATACTTTCCCTGTAAACCAAGAGCTGAAAGGTGGAATCATGAGGCGCCATGGCTGGCAGCTCCCTCTTCACCCTCTCCAGGTTCACTGATAACTAATTCCCGTATAATGAAGCCCATTAGGGTTTTATCTGAGGCATTTTTTTTTTCCCTCTTTTGTATCAGACCGCTTCCGATTCCATGTTTTCTGCAAAATTTTTAATTGATTTTAGTTTGCTGTTTTCTGATACTGTTATCTGATTCATATTTCTTTGATAAAGCACAACATCCTCAAGGTGAATGTGTGATGAATTCACAAAACAAATTGAGATTGTATTTTAATGCACTTTCCATTCCCCGTTTTACTTAAAAAACTAATTAGGGTTCGTGTAATTGGTTAGTTTTCAGCTCAGCTTTGTCGTAAACTGATGAATCCTCTTTTCATAAAAAAATAACTTAATGTTCTTCAATTTGTTATCATTTATGTTTTCTAATTTTACATAACTGTTGCAGTTTGTGGGAATGGGAGTGTTCACATTGCTAGTTGTTGCTTTCTCTGTGTTTGTTGCACCATTTGTTGGAAATAGAAATGCTGAAATTACAGTGCTTACACTGTTCTCATTCACGGTAAAAGATAATCTCCTTATTTCCATCTTTTTCTCACTTCAATTCAATTATTAATGACTGTTCTTGCTCTTCCAGGCATTTTCTGTAATTGTTTTATACATAAGATGCACCGCCATTGATCCGTCTGATCGAACCACCTCCAGAAGGAAAAGGGGAGCGAAATCAAGTGGGAATCCAAAATTTAATTACAAATATATTATCATACAGATCATTTTGAGGACTGTCAGGAAGATAGAACACAAGATCCTCAAGTGTTGCAGGAGGAGAAAATATTTGGACCCTTGGAGTAATAATGTTCAAATGGATACCATTTTACCATTTTCTCTTCTCGTGGTTGATGATGCCGTCACGCCTCATGTAAAGGATGATGATATCACATTTTGCTCTCTGTGTGATTTTGAGGTATTTACTTATACAAACTTATATGGTGCTTATTTAATTGAATAGAAGCATTTCATAGTTATTGGCATTTTTCATCATTATTATTGGGTTTTCCTAGCTATATTATGAATTCTCATTTTTCATTTGTTCTTGTTGAGTGATATACAAGATATTCTATTTATAGCAAACTTTGAATGAGCTGAAATCTTAGTGCCATGAATTTGAATCATAAAAAACATAATGTTATAGAATTCATTCTGGACTTGTTCTTCAGGGAGTAAAGTGACTGTAAATTATTTCTCATGCAGGTTAAAAGGCGAAGCAAGCATTGCAGGACTTGCAATAGATGTGTTGATGAATTTGATCACCATTGCAGAGTGAGAAGCTTAGTTATACATGACTTTTAAGTGGCTTCATGGTGCAAATTATGAACCAGTTATATTTTAATTTATTAATCTTATTTTTTTAGTGGTTAAACAACTGTATTGGAAGAAGAAATTACACCACATTCATACTTCTATTGGTTTTCACCATGTTTATGGTAACCATCTCTACTGTGCAGTCTTACTTTTGTTGTAAGAATATTATTTCCTTTAGATAATATTTGGCAAGCATTAATCATTCCTCTGAAATAAAATTGGAAATCTTCCCATATTGCAGCTTGTAACAGAAGGAGGAACTGCACTTGCCATTTTCATCCGTTGCTTTGCAAGTAAGAAAATATCAATGGAATTAAAGCAGAAACTTCACACTGAGTTCCCAAAAGGGCTTCTTGCTGCAATATCTGTAAGTTCAACAAAAAATTGATAGATATAAACAATCTATGAAACTGTAAAACTTTTGTTTGTCTTCCAATTTTAAAGATTTGAAATTTCCACATTCCTTTTATTTAGGTGGTTTTGACAGCGCTGACAGCCTACAGTATAGCGGCACTGTGGCAGCTTTTCTTCTTTCACGCTGTACTAATCCGAAAGGTACAGTTTTTTTTACAGACACGGTCAATAATTTAATACAACCATCTGTAACATGTAAAATAAGTAAATTATCGTAACTCAATTGAATGCTTACATGTTGCAAGTAATTTACTATCTCTTTGTTGTAAATTTGTATATTTTTTCTGGGATGTAAAATGCATAAATGAATAGAACCATTTGTAACATGTAAACTAAATAATTTATTTAAAGCTAATTACAAGATGGTGTATTAAAGACTCAACAATAACTCTCAATAAAAATTATTCATGACCTCCATACTCAAAATATGGTAACTTTCTCCGACTCCTAAAGCTCTTTTCTTACATCATATACCAACAAATGACATCTCTAGCGTAATAGTACAACCACCAATCAGTATAACACCAACTATAGCCTATGTAATCAACTAACACTCTTTTAGGATCTACTATGACCTATGTGGCCAGTTGCTACTGTAGCTACCCACTACGGTTTACGCGGCTAACATTATAATCTTTCACTACAGCCTATGTGATCAATTGATGCTCTTGTAATGACCCACTATGACTTATATGATCAGTTACTACTGTAGCTACACACTACGACCTACGAGGATAATTGATGTCATTATAGCATTCCCCTACGACATATGGGATCAACTGATGCTCTTGCATCAACCAACTATGGCTTATGTGGTCAGCTACTACTTTAGCTACCCACTACAACCAACATGACAAACTGTTGTAATAACATTCCACTACAGCCTCTGCGTCGCAGCGATCCACTATGACCTATGTGATCAGTTATTATTTTAGCTATCTACTATGACTTATGTGATCGGTTATTATTGTAGCTACCCACTACGACCTATGTGGCTAACTATTTGTCATTATAACATTTCACTACAACCTCTGTGGTGAAATAACGCTCTTATAGTAACCCACTATGTCCTACATGACCAGTTATTGTTGTAGTCATCCACTACTGTCTACACGACTAACTGTTGTCATTACGGGTTTCTACTATGACCTTTATGACTGTTGACCTCAATTTTCGTGAGGTCTAGTTTTTCTCGTAGGAGTTAGGATCTAGCCTCAGGGGTCTTCCTGCGACTATCTTAGAACCTTAGAAGTGGTGCCCGCCTCGTTTTAGTTCGACCTGTTTCTGTCCTCTTTTGGAGTTTCGCGTGTTTGGTATCAACTTCTAACACTTAGAAGGATGAAACCGACATGAGGAAACCCAAAATGGATTCCTATAAGACCTTTCCGAGCCTTAGGTTGGCCTTTTGCACAATTCGCACTTCTGCGCACACCAGCTTTGCAATTCAGAGAGTCGATGCGTCCGATTGCTGCAATTCGCATCGCCTGCACCGTTATTTGCCGAGGACTCGAGTAAACCACTTGTGACGATCGATCGCGGGTCGAGATTTTGTGAAATTTGAATTTCGACGCGTTTTGACCTGACTGTCGACGACGTCGTCCGAGCGACCCCGGATGACGAAACGGACTGCGCCGACACGTCCGGAACGTCGATTTTGCCCACGGAGGACACCCATATTGCCATATTTTCGACACGAGAAAATTGGCGCGCAAATCGATGAATTCGTCGAAACGACCTCTGATGACGAAACGGACTGCGCCACCGCGTCCGGAACGTCAATTTTGCTTAGGGAGGATATCCATTTTGTCGCGTCTTCGCGCGCGGGTAAAATTGTGTTTTAATTCATATATATAAATATATATTTACATATATATATATATATTTATATATAT